TCCGTGTTCGACCAAAGTTTAAGAAGTGGGTTAGCTAGCGTGGCGTCAAACGGTTTTTCAATGTTAACCGGGCAATATTTTTAAAGCCCATAAAAAGCACAAAAAAATAAGCCCAGAAAAGTAGTAAAAATACTTCATTGAATGAATGTTTTGCTAAGTTACGGTTAACTTAGCAAAGTCTTAATTATTTACCAAATGGTCGGAGCACAAAAAAAACGAAAAGTGGCCGAAAATAGCACACAATGAGCACAATAATACGGACAAATTTTTTCTTCATTTTTTCATTTTAGCGCCGCTAACTTGATTGAGCTCGCAGCAAACATACATAGACACATTTAATAAAAACGTGGTTGCTCATACGCTCTGTAGTCACAGGCTTAATATACGTGGCATACGCCTCATCACCAACCAACTGTGATTGTGTAAATCCTTTGAGATTGCCTGGTATTCGCAGAATTAAAGTATTTCCTGAGGTAAAGAATTTTTTAAACATTTATGTTGACATTTGCTTTGTCACATCCATGACGGAACTACCGTAAGCGACAATTCCATCAAGCGCACAAGCAATACGAAAAAGTGAGCAAGAGTAAAAAGTGAATTGATTGCAGCGAGCCTCAGCCATGCGAACCTCTAATCCATTCAAAAAAAAAAACTGTACGTCAAATCAACATTTGTAAGTTTATTTTGTTCATACCAAAAATAATTATATTTAGTTAAATAAATTTTTGTTTAACTTTACACTTTTTTTAGTGAGTATCATTGGAACTTACCTGTTGCTTTGTTATATAAATGGGTTTATTCAACACAACCCATGTGACAGTCTCATGACAGGCGGGCGCTGTTGTTGATCCATCATAGGTCATATATTGATCCGTTTCCGGCAGTAGACCGCGTATCGATAAGCGTTTGACGAATGCTTCATCACCACCGAAGCGTATGCGATCCAATTGGTCGGTGAGCATACGCAGTTCGGGATTAGATAGATCGCCGAGCTGAAATTATAGGTTTTATAGTTATAAGTGAAGTTTAATTTTGAAGAACTTTGAAGGGATAAACATATTGATGCACAAAAATTTCGTAGCTAAGGTGATGTGGAATTCGACCATCTTTTCTATTATTTACTTTTTTTTTGCAAATAAAAGAGACACAGGTATCAGTTTTATATAGTACTATCTAAGAATAGGGTAAATAGCTTCAAGGAGATAAACCTTAATATATAAGAAAAATCGGAGTTTAAAAGGTTAAATCGCAGTTGGTGCCCGAAAGTGGGTTAAGGTTACCACGGAGCAGTTTTTTTCCATTTGTGCTCTTCAGAGACTTGTAGAAAATTTAGAAGTATATCGAGAACAAAGAAGTGACCGAAGCTTGCTCATTGGTACTTTGGCACACGAACTATTCGCTGTGAGAAAATTGCTATGAAAGTATTCCCACAGGGTGAAGTTATATCTACTCTTCTGTAGTCTACCGTAGTAGATGAACGAGTCTGTCTTCTTAGTGTAAAACAATTCGTTATTCATGGCTACATGGATGGCATTGCAACTCCAACCAGAGGTAAGTTTGAGTAAGTTAAGAATGCGTTGAACATAGAAGCCAATTAGTTTAGTAAAAATTAATTAATTTGAGCCCTAAGAAGATTAATATAATTATATTCTCCTTGAAAACGGAAAGTGACAAATTTCTGAGAAAGTTTTTTTCAAGGGCAGAAGTTAGACTTTTATAAATTTTATAAAGAAGCTAACTATCTGGGAATTATTCTTAGTAATAAGCTTTCGCTGAGTCTTCGTCTCCACTTAGATCAGTGGGAAGCGGTCTTTTGTGTCGGAATTATTGGATTTGAATGAAAGCGGAACTTTACTGGAAATGTACGAAAGGTAACAATCATGCCAAGTCCTTCATCCTAGAATTATTCTCTTATCTTATTAGGCACCAACTAAGAATTTTTACAGGCTTTTTTACTAACCAGTGCAGGGTCAGTAAGTTAGTTAGCTTAGACTTCCCTTCCCATAATCAACGTACCTAGACACCCATGGCTTAAATGTCATTTGAAACAGGGAGCTACGTAGATCAAAGGATATCTGTAACCAAATGCAGGCCTGGTTGCGGTAACTAGATGACCTGTTTTCTCCTATCAGAATTTGATCTAGTCTGCTTTAATTATTTTCCGGCGAATAAAGTTAGCTTTTCGTATGCAAATATGCATTTTGACATGAGAGTTGCTTAGTTTTTCTACTTATTCATCTCACTAGCTTAGATACTCGAAACCCATGGGAAAAAATGTATCCATTTTGCAGGCTGAAACAAATGCTATAGAATAATACACGGACTCTAATATCAGGGGAAACGAACAGAACACCGTAATCTTGACGGAAAGCCATAGCCGCTTCAGGTCCTCAGAACTCATCAGGTAACTTTTAAACTGGTGATGGAGTGCCTTAAAAAGCTAAGTACTCTTTGTCTCACCAATCGAGTTTGGGTTCTCTGGACTGCGGGAAAATTAACGTTTTTTTCCAAAGGTGGTTGATGAGTGAATTTGTTCAGTAAATTTGTATAAACCTTTTCGTTAAAGTTTATATGCCATCATGAAGCTAAGCAAAGCATATTTTTTTGCCGATCACTAATTATATAACAATTTCAAATGAGTCCTTTCAAAAGCTTTAATAATGTTTTATCGCTTGAAATATTATTATATCCATATACATATAATCGAATAACTCATTTAGTTTAAAGTCATAGCTTCGCGTATTCATTGCCATACGAAAACATATACTTATTTTATTCTGCTTCGATAAATATATTATGCCTAGTACTATGTATTTGTATTCAATGGCAAACTTTTGCCGTAGCACAAAGTCTGCGTAAAGTTTTTCTTTCCAAACAATATACTCACCTGCAGCAAAATTGATACACCAACAATGCCTTGCGCTCGATTCAAAGCGTCCGAAAAGTTTGCATAGAGTTGTGAATTGTAGCCGAATATTTGAATCTGAAAGTAAATAGAATAAAACCGAATAGGATAATTGAGAATAAAAAATGCGAAAGAAAACTGGATAAGCTGTGGATGCCAACAAGAGCTGCAAGATATATTTATCTACATACATACTAATATGCTATATGTATTTTGTTTGCCATAGATGTGCATACATAGCTAAATACGTATTTATATGTAAATATGTATGTACATGTGAAATCGTCCAATCACAGCCATGTTTGAATAACAATTATATTGCTTTTTGTGGTGTTTATCTGACAATTTTAGTGGTTTCCAAATAAATTCCTAAGATTGCATGTGAAACGCTGCAAATGTAAGCTTAATTTATTTTGCCACACTTGCTGGAGATTATACAAGAACATGTAGTACATATGTGGGTGGTCCAAAAATGCATGTAAAAAAAGTAACGTCGGAATTGTAATACTCTCAGCCCCTAGGATTGACCTATATCGAAAAAAGTATACCCCTATTTTTTTATTTTGAAATCAAAAAATATTTAGAGGTGCTCAAAGCGCTCAAAGTTTTCCATGATTTTGTATGGAAAAAAAGGAACTTTTCGTGGAAATGGTATGGAATTCTTGAAACTAAATATTTTTCGATCAGAAGACTCTATTTCTCTTCAACAGATTCCCAATAATAAAACCTAATTATTTTTTTAACAATTGTTTTCTTAGTAACTATGTTTCATAGGACCGCCAAAACCTCTAGAAAATGCCAGTAAATGCATTGGGGGAGATAAATAAAAAATCTTCATTATTAAAGAATGGTTAAATAAATAAATGGATACTGTTATTGGAAGTTTCCAGAACCGAACTAGAGTTTTCCGATCGAAAAATATTAATTTTCAAGAATTCTATACCATTTCCACGAAAAGTTGGTTTTTCCCATACAAAATACATGGATAAGTTGGAGCCCTTTGAGCGACCTTTAAATACTCTTTGATTTCAAAAAAAAAAAAAATAGGGGTATTTGTGTTTCGATATTGAACAGTCCACGGGGGTGAGAGCATTAAAATTCCGACTTTACTTATTTTGGACCACCCTAACATACATACATACGATACGTATTTCGCGCCTGCTCATGCACTTACATAAAATATGCATAAATATGTA